GAGCGCATGCTATGAGCTAATTGAATTCACGCCCCACCGTATAAACGAAGAGGAATAAGACGAAACAATGAAAATGTTAGTTCATTGTTGTCGGCCACTTATGGCTTTGTACAAAACGAGCTCACGCCGTTTAGTTATCTTCTTTTACTTTTATTACCTGGAAACTGATACCGAGTCTAGAATTTAGTTGTACAGCCTGTTTCCCTGTCTCGTAAGGTATTGACATTTAAGCGTTATTTTCCCTCCAGGCTTTAGGTAATGTTCGGCTAACTACTAATAACTAGGGGATTTTTATTTCTTTCGTTTTAGTATAAATCAAGTCAAGAATCCTCCTTTTGCATCGGCTAGACGAAAAAAACTCTGCGCAGTTGCGCACTTTCGCGAGCAAGCTAGAGTCTCATCGCTTTTTAGAGTCTAATTACAGTACATTCAAGGAATTTATTGAAGTTCTGTGGCGAACCGATCATTTTGGTGTGCTGCTTGATTTGCTATGAATGGAAGTGGGCGTTTGGTGCGAGTGATGGACACTGTAAGTGACGCTTGCTGGTCTATCAATCTGAGGCTCCGGACACTGATCTCGTGCCGCTAATTGTGGGCTGTGCCGTCGCTGCTGCCGCTTCCTTTCTCTGTGAGGTAGTAATGCCCTGGTGGTGCCATTATTGCTGAACGTTCTTTTTATATTGGTTGCCTTCCTGAATATTGTGTTGCTGCCGTCTGCGTTACTGTAGGTTCTCTATAGCTGTTGCTAGTGTTACCTTATATGTTTGGTGTGTCCCGTAGACTTCTAACCTTTTTTTTGCATTGCTTTTCAGCTACATAGTAGACAATTGTTTGCTTAAGTTATTCGCTGTTGCTGAGGCATTCGCTAGCAGTGCAATATTGCTACTGTGCTGCTAAAAGTTTGAAATTTCCCTCACTTAAGACATAAGTCTTGGTGAACGAATATTATTTATTGTCTCGTTTATCTTCTAAAATGCCTCAGTATTAATATATTTAGGGAAATTATAATCAAGAAAATGCTAGAAATAGTGTAGCTTTACAACGGTCAGATTTCTGTGAAATTTTCCACATTGCGCTTCTTTTTGCTTGTAAATTTCCTGTCGGAATATAAGTCAACGTTTGTGGAATTGGTTCGAAATTTGATATGGACGAGGAGTCGTTAAGGATGGCGTCAGTCGAGCCGTGTCTCGAGAGTCGGAACTCCTCATATCCGCCCAAACCAAAAAGGAAATTGAATCTGAGGAAACGGTCGAGGCTGTGGAGACACTGCGTGTGTGAGGCGCTTTCCTCGCTCAAAATCTAGAAAATATTTCGTGGCAATATCCTGCAGCCATCAATCTTCTAAAGATCTTCGAGGCTGATTAGAAATAAATCTTAGGGTTCCTCGACTAATTCGGCGCACAATTTCTGAAATTTCACTTCTCGTAAAAACAACTTGGAAGCTATATACAGCAAAAAGATGAAACTGAACTTATATAACTTTTTTAGTTTTATGTTGTAACACTCGAGTATATACTATTCCTTGGCTGCGCCACATATCATTTTCAATTTTGTATATTTGGGGCTTAGATCACTCTTATAGCCTCATCAATGCCAATGGCACGTCAGAGAGCCATGCCTGGGATCCCGTCTTTTTGTGGAGCTTCGAAAGGTATCGTGGGCACATATGACCGGTGCGATGAGTACCGATGAAAGGTATCGTGAGGGCTGATGAAAGGTTTCACGAGTCCTATTGATCAGTATGCTTCACCGTCTGGATGTTCGACATCCGCCCTAGCGTACGTCGAGGTCCTCCTTTTCCAAATAAGCGGTTAGGCGAGATCTTCGTGCTGGCAATGGAGCCGCAAACGCCTTTTGGCGGCTGAAGGGAGACCGCGGACGGCCAATCATTGCGATTGTCGGAAACTGTCTACGAAGATGACGAGTCTCAGCGCGCTGGACTAGTGCGGCGCATTTCAAGCGACATTGCTGGCTGGTCGTAATGCCGAATAAGAGCCGTATTTAGGCGTATTTGCTGCATGCCTTTGAATAGATTACTCGCTTCATATGAAGTGTGGCTCGCATAGCCTCTGTCACTGCTCTGTACTTGTTAATAAACGCCGTACGGGCAAGAAGGGGCGGTTCTGGTCTTCTACTAATCATTATTTTTATTGTTTATTAGTTTGAACTCCGATCGGGCAAAATTGCTATCGAATAATTAGTTACGATGAATTCCAAATTCTAAGCAAAAATTATATGACTTTGCATTGATAGTACAATTATTTGTTTTCTTTCTTATTTTATTCCAAAAGAGAACTTCATTAGAATTATTGTTCTCTCAAAACTACTAAAATCGTAGTTAATATTTATTATGCTCATATATATTACTGAATATCCATTAATTTTTCGGTGTTTAAATTTACTAGAAGGAAGCAGAAAAATTCTATCGCTGATATACTTCCGAAATGTCTGCTATAGGCGAGGCGCGTACGGTTTGGACTCGTAGGCTGAACAGTTTTTGGCGTCCAAGATCCGGCCACGCCTATGTCTGGAACTTGACTGGATTTAGCAGGCCGCAGATATGAAAGTGTCTGCCAACGCACCCATATTAAGACAGCGGTTTCTTTCTGTGCCTGCCAAGTTTTTTGGGGCCTGTTTGTGAAGGTGGGTTTTCGGAGAGGCTTCTGCGTATATAAGTGAAGATATGATTGAAACTTATTCGTGCTGCGCCTCATATTGACACGATTTAGTAATTTGTTGCGCTTTACTTTTGCTTTGTTTGCAAGACGTGTGTTTCATGCAGAAATATGTATTTTAACTGTGTGTAAATGTTGATTGATTTGTTAATTTAAGCGTTTTGATTCAATATTGGTTGTTGGGCAAACGCGATATGACGCCCCGGCGCAGACGCTATACGTTCGTACTCCTTTGCCTTCATTCTGGTCGGAATCGCCGAAAAGAAGGTATGGCCTATCAGGGCTCTTTATCTGGCAAATTATACACTCTTGTGCTGCGTACTGCGATTATCTCGCTAAATATCTCCAGAGACACGATTCTTCCCGCATCCTCGCTTGCCAGGAAATGTTCGCCTCGTTCAAGTGCCAGCTGTGTCATTAGAAAGAAAGTCCAAGTGTGGATTGCGAAGGTGAACCTGGTCATGTAATTAAAGGCCATCAAATATTATCGTATTCCAATAGCTGAGATGCGAGGGTCGCTTTCTGCTGAACAATTTCCTTTGTGCTTGCGTGACTTGATTCTGTTTTACTTTTTACTCCGGCGTTTTTCCTCTGGCTTTTGGAATTGCAGTAGTGAATCTGTTGTGCGGATTCGAACTTAACTGAAGATACAATAAATATTCGCTCTCACGGGGTATGCATGACTGTCATCTTGTCTGTGTGAGTTACTCAGCTAACACGAAATATAAGGTTGAGATTGAAGAATCTGTAACTTTATTAGCATCGTAAATAATTGATAGACCGTAAATTTGATCTTGAACGTTTAAAAAAAACTCTTGCACTATCTCCAGGCGCTGTGCTCTGTTTCGCCCATCAAAGATTTATTCACTTTGTAATTGGCATGCAATTGGAATAGTGGAAGAGCCAAGTGCAACCAATGCGGTTCATTATATCAGTAGCAAAGCAATTCAATACGGGCTCCATGAAGTTGAATGTATGAACAACGGTACAACGGTGAGCGTACACCGTGCGTGCTTATCTGGAGACATCGTGAGAGCTGGAGAGCGACTCCCAGTCCAGCGTACGGCACGTCTCACTCATCGAGTCTTCTCGACGCTCCATGACTCTCTGGAGATCTTTATAGTTTCTCCAGACAATAAATTATCTATAATAAATTATCTGGACGTCTTGTGTGATCATGGTGTGTCTTGGAAAGATCTGGATTTCTGTCTAAATTCTACAAGTTTTTTTAACTAACAGCTTTGCAATAAGTCAAATCTCGCATTGTAAATTGAATGGGAAAAAATTGGCTAAATTATTATGGAGTTTGGTGGGAAGAAGCTATGACCCATTCTTCTTTATGTTAGTTTGTATACTTCTATACGGATAAACAACTTAAAGCTACAAATGTATTGTGAACGTTTGATGCTTTATGGATCTGAAGAAAAATTTAATTTTTTTATTCACTGTGAAGGTTAGTAGTAACTTCAAATTAAATATTCATTCTTATTATGCATTAATCACTGGAGAATAATTACTCTCTTCTTTTCCGTGAGTTGTTCCTTGAATCAAAATTTCATATTAGTCTCAAAGAATTATTCTTCCCCATCCGATCTATGTAAGATAATTTCCAGTTTCCAAAGTAACAACTTTACTTGTGACCTTCCTCCCCTTAGCGGAAAGATATGCTCGATCCTTGTAGGAGTTCGAGGATGAACAGAGTCTGGCGTCACAATAGTTTTGCTGCTGCAACTTCAGGAGTCAAGTGACGGTCGAGTGGACTTGCCATGTCCTTAGCATTGTATTCAGTAAGCCAGCGACTTGTGTTGTGTTGGTGAAACATGCTCGGTCTTGCCACCACCACCGCCACAAATTCCAACGTCGACTACTGACTTACAATTATTTTATTGTGAATATTTATGCCTTACTCGTGAACACGATTTTGTTTGTCATTACTTTTTGGGATTGAATTGAAATTAAGTTACTGGCCTTTTAATTATTTCACTAATTATTACTGCTAGTGTTATTATTTTTATGTGTTTTCTTGGTAAACTTGTTAATAAACACGGAAAGTGAAAAAGAAAAAAAAGGAATTTTTAGTGGAAATGAACTTTTTGTGTTTATTTGTAAATTTGATAACGAAATGATTGTCTTTGTTTATAATACGTTGAATGACACTGATGGTTTCGATCTTGTAATTGCCAACTTACTTGATATCATCCTAGAATATCGCATTAAAATATGCATGGGGCTCATCATTAAGCATAAGATAATTTTTAGATGATCTTTTTCGTTCTTATTAAATCTATAAGCTTCATGATTCTTTAATGATTTCTTATGTTGCAGACATGACTTTAGCCATGCTTACGAACGTGAACGCGATGTCGGGCGTCAAATTTCGTTCCTCAGACGGGGAAGATTTGTTGTCGAGATGTTACCAGGACCACAGCGTTGTTTGAGGCGGGCTTGCCTTCTTGCTTTGCCACCTGCCACAGGCCAGCATTTGAAATTTGATGCCGATGACAGTTAATGTTTACAGTGTGGCTTGAAAATATCAATCGCAGCGTAAGCTTTGGTGTTTAGTGAGTGAGTTTCAACTAAGTACCGTAAGCATAATTCACATAACTGAGTGCGTAACGTGAAAAATTATTGTAATGGAAAATTTACAAACTGACAACAAAACTTGGAATTACCAGTTGTCCCCATAATTTTGTTTGTTGTGATTGGAATCAGTGACCTGTGCCCAAGTATTTTATTTCTCTTAAAAGGGTTCTTCGTTAAGTTATTTCATTGTCAAGCTTTCAATGCACTGTACTGAAAATTACTCAAGTTCTCTTAGTACTAATCAGCTTTGAACCTAACAATTTGAAGTGAGCAAACTGAAGGTTTACATCACATGCGGTGCAGTGAACAGGCAAGGCTCCTGTAGCAAAAGTATCGAGGGTCGTCTTTGAAAATAATGTGAAATTTCAATGAACTTTCTGGAAAGTACGTGATAATATCGATTTGACTGGAAATTTATGATAGATTATATTTTGAGAGTGGCTGTAAAATGATATTCGAAAGTCCAATAGCCCCAAAAAGTGAACAAAAAACACAGTTGTTGAGTTAACTAGCAGGCGTTAGTGGAAAAGCAAACGATATCTATTTTAAAATTTCTTTCTAATAGTATCTGAAAAAAGAATACAGTTTAATAGATTCCATCCCATCAGTGTAATCACACACAATAGCAGTGCCTCAATATTAAGACAACAATCGTGGTGTTGGTATCGAGTCGCAGAGTTCGAGCGATCCCCTGCCGGGACGCGATGGTGCGCGCGAGAGGCGGGGCGGCGGGCTGGTGTCTGCGGTTGTTCGCTATCGTCTTCGCTGCGGGGGCGTGCCGGCCCAGCCTCGCTCAACAGGTGAGTTCATATCGCTGTCTAGCGCTCCTTTCTACTTATGTTTTAGTCCTTAAATCTCAGGTGTGATATGTATTGAAAATAATTCTTACTTTGAATTTGTAACCATTTTCCTGGGTCATGAAGCAAATTCAATCGCTTTAGTCGTCGAATATCAGGTTTGATGCATCTTGTAAACAAATTATTTGAATTTTTGACCTGCTTTTTGTGGGTTATGAATTTTCTAAGAGCATATTTTTTAAATCTCAGGTTTTATGCTTATTGAAAAGAATTTTTTCTTCGAATTTATTACCTTACTGTCAGGCATGAAACAACTTCAATCGGAAGGTGAGTTCACACCATCCAGTGAGTCCTTGTTAATGTGTACGTCAATATTCTAATGGGCTTCAGCTCATTGCATAAATTAAGCTATTCTTCTCTCTGTCAGAGTGGATGTGCATCACTGAGGCTGAAGGTTTCATATTAAAATTCATTACAGCCTATTCACCGATATGAACTTGAATTTTGGAATAAATAATCAAAAATTTTATTGTGCAATGCATCTCGGCGCTACATCCACGAGTAGCACAACTGCTGTTTATTGTCTGCATGGACTTGAACTATTTGTTTTAACTATTGTGTTGTCTTCTCCCTTCCTCACCTCTGCCTTTTCCTCTTCATTCACTCATGTTTATTTCTGCTTTTATTTCGTGTCTATAATTTTTTACATTCTCATCGCTTATTATTACAGGATAGTCTAGTACACATTCCATCATTTTGAATGACAGTCATGCTAGTTTCAGCATAACTTCTTGTCAGAATAGGAACTATTAATTAGAACGGAAATTCATGTATTACGAATATAAATGTAAAAAATTCTACATGATTGCTTTCAGTTAAGAATAAAAATTGTAGCAGCATTTTACGTGTTATCTCTAAGGTTGGATTTCTAATGATCTATGTCTATAAGGGCATTTGAAGGAAAAAAGTACTCGTGTACATGCAATAATTTGTACATTTTTGTTTGATAAGAAGAGCAGCTTGCTGATGAAGATGCTCGACGCGAGAAGTTTGCGGTGCAGTTTTATCGCTGAATTGACGTAGACTGAGAGCTATTTGGAGGCTAAGTCTGCCGTAGGGGTGCCTATAAGCCTCCACAACTCTCATCAGTCGCTGGATTGCCGCTCATCATCTTCCTGCCCGGGATATTGGCCCTCTAGACGTCGCTGCCCTCCCTTCTCCTTACCGACACTCCCCGGAAATCCCTCCCATTAACTTCTTAGTGAACTTAGTTTACGAATTTTAGTAACTCTGTATTATTTGGTAAATGAAGTTCCTTCTACTTATTTGTCAACATTGCGACCCTTCTACAAATTTGTTGATAAATTTACCGTATTTAATGGAAATTAGTAGGTTATATTTGAATATAATTTAAAAATAGCTCATCACGTTTCACCTCCTCCTTTCACTCTCGATTCCTCAGCGTAAGAACATTCACTCCAAATCGAATTTGTTGCGTACTTTTTTACAACACTTCTCTTTAACTTCACTTATTGTTGTTTGTTTGTTTGTCTGCCACAAATCTTATAATCGATATTTAACACACTTCTACCTGTCGAATCGATCTGAAATTTTGCACACTTGCATAAAGTTGGTAACAATGCATGAATCAATTGACAGAATAAATAATTTTGAAAATTAACAAATATATTTTTTTTCAATATTAAAAAAATTTACAAAATAATTTTGTCAGCTACAAATCTTATAGTTTATATTTGGCACACTTCTACCTGTCCAATTGATCTGAAATTTCGCATACTTGTGTGAAGTCGGAGGCAATGCATGAATCAATTAACAGAATAAATAATTTTGAAAAAAATTATATACCAAAAAATTGAAAAATTAATTTTTTCATATTTGAAAATAAAATTAGAAATTCATGGTACATCTGTAACATTGGAGACACTGGATTCTTTAGAAGTGTTGTCTTTATAAAGTAATTTTTAAACATATATTATTGCAAATGACCTCATATTTCTGTTGTCAGAACCTAGCCTAAAGCATTCAACTTTGTTCATACTTCGAGGCTCAGCCGCCTACCACAACCTTCCTGATGTTTGATAAAAGTCCACTCCTTGAGGTGGTGCAAGGCTCGGGAAACTTGAACCTGCCTCTGCATTATTTACATCCGCTGCCAGTCCGACGCTTTGATTTGCGGTCCATTTCTGTGTAGGGATGGAAAATATACGCAATCCTAACCGCAACCATAAAATAATTATAAGTAAAAATAAAAAATAAGTAACATTAATAACAAAAAATGTCAAATTCTAGTTGCCGAACATAATTTAAGTATTCAGAGGAAATTTTCTATATAGATTGACAGTTAACGCAGAAACTTCAAGCCTAAAATGAGCAAAAAGTATTCAAGATTTTATTATTATATGCGCTTCGCTGTTTATATTTCTCCGTATTGTTGTAACGTTCTCTTTTGTTATTCTCCTTTCAGGCTGTTTATTAGCAATCACTACATTAGAGTTTTAAATTAAATACATTTCATTAGGTTTCTTCATCTTCATGTGAAAAGTTCGCTGTCCACTCGATTGCACCGTTGCTTACAGCGTGAAGAAGCACACACGATTCCACGGTAATGTTTGGAGTAGTTCATGTCCATTGATATCGGTTGAGAGGACGAGTTCTTGTCCATTTACGAGGTCTACAGGGATCTTATCGCTACACATTTGCCTTCTTTACACGACCGACATGCGCAGAAGACGAGATCCAGGAATTTCTGTCGTCCTGCGGCCGACACTCTGCCGCGACATGACGTAACTGAGCGCTCAGCCACATTAGGCGCCCATGATGCTCGCTGCTAGATTCATTTGATTCAAGCTACCTGCTATATTCATTCTGCATATCAATGTACAATTTTTGTAGAGTATAACCAGTATAAGCATGTTTTTCAGAAGTAGCGGAAGCTTTAATTTATTTTGTGACTAAAAAATCCCAAGTCATAATTAGTTGAGATAATTTTCACAAATAATAACGATATGTACCAAGGTTAAGTTTGAAGCCTGTAGCTTATTTATACAGGGTGCGGCGTGGGAACTTACTCTTTTAAAAAAATCACAAAGTAAAAAGTATTAAAGATAGCGTTTTAATTCTTTCTTTTTTACAAAGAGCTACATTTAAAGTTTCGTTGGGTTTACTTACAAGTTTAATTCTTGAATATTACATCTTGTAGGTGACCTCCATGACACAGAGACTGCGAACGCGCGCTCCTCTCTCGACCACTGCATGGTCGCAACTGAACTGAGTGGACGAAAAACTTCATAGCCCGCGCACCATATTGCGCATGGCGCCACCTTCCTAGGACTAATGGCCGCCACGTGGCGCGCAATTCAAATAAGTAAGTTCCCGCGCCGCACCCTGTACATAACTCCCGTCAACGGTAAATGTTTGACGTCTTCGCCTGTGTTCGTATCGATTTGAAACTGATTAGATACAAAAATTATCATGCAACAAGTGAAATAAGTGCCGAATATAACTGATCAGCAATTGTTAATTAGCTTCAATGATTCCTGAACGAAATCAACCTTATCTGCGGTTGTTTCTTCACCGCCATGTTATTCGACCATTGATACCAATTATAAAGAGTAGTTTATGCCCCGACCCACGCGACATGGCTATCGTGGTTCTCACAGCACGAGTGTAGCCGCAGAACACGGCGGCTAAGATGTAGGGTGACATTTTGCGGTGACTGCCGCGATGTCCCGTGACTTATGTACGGGGGGCGGCTCTGTGACGACCTACGCGCAGCGGTGGTTGCGGTCATCACGACTGGGGTACTGGACGTGTCCAGCAGCGTAAGGTCTTAACTTTAAAGGGATTGTGAAAGAATAAAGTTAACAAAAGTTTTGTGTGCTTCCTAGCTGCACACCATTCCCGCAAGCACCTTCCTGCAGAGCACCACGCACGATTAAATCACATTAATACATGTATATGCCTATGTTTCCTTGTCTGCATCATTCTTTGTCTAATTAATTAACACCATCTCAATAAAAATTGTTAGTGGCTCAACTATAGCTGTAGAAGCCGAGCGGCTAACAACGCGCCTCTTGTCATTGCTTGTGTTGTGTCATTACTTATTTCCGGAATATTGACTGTTATTGACTAAATATTCCGTTATTGACTAAATTGTATGGAATAACGAAAATTTTGTAGTTTCACTTTAAGGTGAGTGGTTCTGAAAAGAAGCCTAGAGTTTTTATGATGATCTGTAGTTAATGATAATGATGATCTATCAGACCGAACCTCGTCTAGATCAGTATTATTGTAGTGTATGGCGATGGTGACACGTGTTGATATTGAGGTCGCTGGTATCAGGTTTGCAGCGTGTCATGTACCCGCCTGACACGTTCTTGGGTGTCGCGTCTGCGTGCAGCGCTCCATGAAGTCTGCAGCCACTTGACACCTGCAGCGGATGGTCTACCTGCGTGCCGTCGGCTTTCTACTCATGAAAAATATAATATTCTTCATTATTTAAAAAGTTTATTTAAAAATTTTAATTCTTTTTGTAATTTTATAAATTTGCATTTAAACTCTTATTTAATTAAAGACTCGCCACAAAGAATGGAAAGCATTCTATTCTTAAGTTACGGATTAAAGTGTGAACCTCAATTTCAGCGGTTTGTAAGATACGTCATTTTTTAGTCTGACCGGCGATTTCTTTGGGTGATATAAAGCGAATGTCTTATTCTAACATTTAGTTTCGTTTATAAAGACGTTTTTCTGACATTATAATGTTTTATTCTCACATAATGAAATTTTATTCTGGCATTTAGAAAGTTCTTACGAGTATACCAGCTTCAAACATTATTTAGAAGTATGATTAGAACATTACATAGATGTGAATTTTTTTAATGTGGCAAATATAGTCAGCAAAAATGTCTTCCATTATTTTTTCTTCACTCACCAACGTAAAGGCCTTTGTTCCTGATCTGATGATAAATTCATCGAATTCTCTG